TCTTCTCCCCCCCCAAACCCCGGCGGGTGTCCTCCCACCCACCCACGCACCTGCCCCAGCAGGTCCTTACACTCCTCACTGAGCAGGTTGATGTGGGGAGCCACGCGGGGCGCAGCCTGCCAGTCCCCACCGCCGGCCTTCATCTGCTCAGCCCATACCTGGGGGGGACGGAACGGGGGGGGGGGGGGAAAAGACGAACCACGTGAACGAATGAAGCTGCTGCCAGGGCAAGAGTGTACCAGACGTAGAACTGACCGACTTGGGGGGGGGGGAAGAGAGTGTATGTGTTTGGGGGAAGGAAGAGGAGCGGGTTGGAATCATCGGGACAAAACTGGGCGGGGGCCGGGGAAGGGAGGGGCACGAGGGTGGATGTGTGCGAATGTGTATTAGCTGGCCCCTGAAAAGGCCTCCCGAAGAGATGCTGGAATCAAAAGCGCTTCGAGCGCGTATTTGTAAAGTTGATATGTGTGCCGCACTTTGTCAACCAGCTACTACAGAAATGGGGGGGTGAGGTGTCAGGACACAACATGTCAGGATGTGTGTATGTATGTATGTGTGTGGAACAAGAGCTCGTGGCGCGGTGCAGGATGAGCTAGGGAGCCAAACAAAGAAAAACGACCGGTTCAAACTGTCGTACGTCGTACATACCTCGTAGTGTGCGCCTGAGCTGTTTGGATCCGGATGACCCACATGGTCGTACGGAAAGCGGCCGAGCAGCATCGCAAACAGCATCACACCACACGCCCATACATCGGCAGCTGTGGCACTGTACTTCTTACCCTCCGTCTTGGAAGCGATCAACTTTAGAGGACAAGACAGACAGACAGACAGACAGACAAAGCAGGGTTTTTTGGTGAACGGTGGGAAGAATACATGCAAGAATACATACAAGAATACACGCAAGAAGCAAGGAGTCAACTGCCACGGGGGGAGGGAGGGGGAAAGACGAAGGAGGGAGGGAAGGGGGGAGGGAGGGCGGGAGGGGGGACGAGGGAGGGAGGCGGAGAGAAATAAGAAAAAGCAGGGCAAGGCAAGGCAGGGCAGGGTTTAAAACCGTAAAACCGTAAAACCCTAACCACTCCAGCCAGCCAACGACACCACCTCCATCACCCCACTTTAACCACATCATCATACCTCACACCCTTCACACCTCACTCTTCAACACTCCCCCCCAACCCCCACACACGCACTTAAAACCCTCAACCCCCTCCCTTCCTGCAGCATTTGTCTTCCCCTGGGCAATACATCCGTCTATTTAATCTGGTATCTCCTTCACTCGCCAGCAGTGATTCGTCTTACCCCTCCTCCTCTTCCCTCCCCCTCCCCTCCTCCTTCCCTCCTCCTCCTCCCTTCACTCGCTCGTGGTTTGTCTTACCCCTTACCCTCACCCGTACCTGCGGGCTCATGTACACGGGTGTGCCGATGCGGGTGTTCATCATGCTGGACTCGTCCCACCCCTTCGCGAATCCAAAGTCACACAGCTTCAGGGTCGGCGGCCGTCGCTGAGTCAGCACCACGTTGCACATCTTCAAATCTAAGTTCCGTACAGCATCAAAGGATCGGACGAAGAAACATACGGGAAACACGCGTATGTACGACATGCCGTACATACACAAAGAGGTGGTTAAATGTGCCATATGTAAAACAACAAAAAAGGTGGAACGATGTAAGACCAGCACACAAGTGACCAGCACCGATATGCGAACAACCGCGAATTAGTAGTGAGAAAAACATATATATACAGAAACACACCGGTACAGATACATTTATTAACGAATATACAACCCTAGCTCCAGGTATGTAACACTACAACACCAAAAAATATACACTTGTGTATAATAAACACTTGGCATTTCATTATTTTGGCATCTTTCGACACCACCATTACTGCGTGATTGGATGAGGCTCAATACAGATGGACCTACCTCTATGAGCCACATGCGAGGAGTGCAAGTACTCCACGGCCGAGATCAGCAGCTGCACGCAGGCATGCGTTGGGGGGGATGGATGGACGGTTGGTTGGATGGACGGTTGGTTGGATGGACGGTTGGTTGGATAGACGGTTGGTTGGATAGACGGTTGGTTGGATGGACGGTTGGTTGGATGGACGGTTGGTTGGATGGGCGGTTGGTTGGATGGACGGTTGGTTGGATGGGCGGTTGGTTGGATGGGCGGTTGGTTGGATGGACGGTTGGATTCGTTGTGTTACAAGTTACAAGTTCCGCACACAAGTGCGGGTGTGTCCGTAAAAGCCGGGGGGGCCATGGACGTTGTATTGGTATTGATGCGGGTACGCGGGAGGTCATCTTCATTCTCCCTCGTCCGCTTCAGGGCGAAGCGCCTCAGCGCGACGTGCCTGGCCTCCCAAATTTCCGAGAGGTACCTGGCAAATGCCAGGGGTGGCGCCTCAGTCATAATGGTGCGCATGCTGCGCCCCGTAAGGACTAGGTCACCATCATACTTAGCCCGTATGCTCTTGTAAGCGGGACATTCTTCGAAAACATGCAACTCATCTTCAACCGCTCCACACTCACAAAGCCTGCAGGTACGCGCGGTGCGCACACGCCCATTAGGCCTATTAACCTCTAACTCCCGACAGCCTAACCGAAAACGCATGAGCACATGATGAAGTCGCTGGGGCATGGTCCCTTAAAATTTGGAGCAATTTCTCGATTTGTGCGTGTCATCCTTGCGCAGGGGCCATGCTAATCTTCTCTATATTTTTCCAATTTTAACATTTGTGCCGAAGCACAGTTGTGTGTAGGGGGATGTATGTTAGGCATGGGGAACCAACATGGGGATGTTAAATAAAGAGGAAGTGAAGGAAAAGTAAATAAAAAATAAAAAATAAGCCAGCCCTCGGCGCGGGGCCGTCAGTAAAACTTTAATCATCTAGCTATACATGCGATACTGACGGCCCCGCGCCAGCACAGTGATAGCAGCAGCAGTAGCAGTAGTAGCAGCAGCAGTAGTAGCAGTTGGGGCTGCTGGCAACAAACCAAGACATGAGGATTTTTTGAAGTAGTTCCCGCCATTACCGTTGGTGTGCAAAATGAAGGCATTCAGGGATTTCACGCAGCATTCCCTCCCAACCCACTTCCATACATAAGCAAACAATAAACCGCGACACGGCAAAACCCTGACGCCCCTTCCTGACTCACGCGGAAGAAGTAGCGTGCCTCATCTTCTGTGAGGTGCAGTCCGCCCCGCTCTCCCTTGTTGTGTGAACGCTTGGTGACGTACTGGGTTAGAGTGCCCCCATCAACATACTCCATGACCTGGAATATTTGTATACATTTACATGTACACATACATACACACATTCGGCTTCGGCCCCCGGCTCTCGCGGCCCACAGTGTAATCTAAGTCATACACACATACATACATACATACATACTTTACACATGCCAAAGGGAATTGCTTTGTTTGAGGCTAGAGGAGGAAGGCAGGGGGTTCGGTGGCTCCCTCTCTACATGCAGCGCGATGCAAATGGAGTCTGCTGCGATACCACTTAACCAAAATCCATCGTTTGCCTCAATCGGTAGCTATCTTTCGATATCGCCATTGTGTTGAATTGACCGGCATACCGCACACACACAAGAATGCGCAAGGAAATGCTTCAAAGAGAATGCACAAAGACGGCTCCAATCCTACCACAAAAAACCGGAGCACAAAGCAAGGAGATGCTGTCTCAAAGACGACTTATGAAACGGAAACTGCCTCCCTACCGTCCCCGCTAAATATCCCCCGGCCCCCCGACCGGGGCCCGCATGGTCTCTTTCCCCCCCCTTCCCCCCCCGCCTGGCCTCTTCCCCCGCCTGGCCTCTTTCCCCCCCCCCCCCCCACTCGCTTACCAGACCCAGATGAGATTTGCTGAGCAGTGCGGACTCCATGCGGACCAGGCCCAAGTGGCCTTCCGACAGCTGGGCTTGGAGCTGGGACCCGGGGGGAGGAGGCAGAAAAACACAAAAACACACGCAAACACTCACACACATGATAACCGCCAATGTCATTTTCCCTTCGTTAACAGGTCGGTCAACCTTCTATGCTTTCATAAAAAGGTTTGGTTGCATGTGCCAGCGGTGGCGGCGGCGGCGGTGGCGGCGGCGGCGGTGGCGGCGGCGGGGGCACTACCCTGAGCTTGTCGTCACTGTAGCAGGATGACCCTCTGCTTTGTCCGCCAGAGCATCCTTAGGAAAATAGATAGGAAAACAGCCCCGTAGTTCCTACCGTCATCCCCTAAAGGGGAACTAAAGGGTTGTCCCCTTACGGGTTTCCTAGTTGCCTCATTGTTCCACCTAATTGGACCTTTAGATATCCTTGATGCTTATGGCTGATCCTAGCCGTCCACCAGCACCCAGTCGCCATCACCGCTACCGTCGTTAAAATAATTCTTTATATCGTCTGTAGACAGGATCATCGTCTAATAGATAGGACCCAGAAATATACATCGTCTTTAGATTCATTTTGTATAGCATGGTCTAGAGGCCGTGCCATGATATCTTTGGTAAGCTTGAAGAAGAATGATCTGTAGTATCCTGGAGGGCTTATCACCGGATCCTGAGGTCGGATCGGGTTCTTTTCCGAAAAAGTCGTGATACAACACGGTCTATGGACACTATGGACACTACTGCTCACAAATTTTACAGATTGTGACAGCACAGCTTGTTCCTGAGGGCCCTTGATATCACTCTTCTGTGGGGAACACCTGCTCAATAACTGTTCAGTATGTGTTTAGCATGTGTCGCTGGTGACTACGATCTATCTCACTTCGGGAAACTTGTCCGCGTAGCAGTATCGGCCTTTACCTCACGACGGCCCAGATCATTTAAACACAACGACACATACATACATACAACCGGCTTGTTGGGATCGGCAAAAACGCCGGGGACCCCTCGGGTCCTATTACTGCTGTCACATTCCGCTGCTGGTATGTATGTATGTACGTATGTACGTATGTATGAGTGTCGGTCACTTTCCATGGAAATGGGATATGGAGTGCGGGGAACACAAGCCCAGATGCCCCATGATGATGAGTGATGATGATGATGAGTGATGATGATGATGATGATGATGATGTGGGTCTTTGTGTAAGGGGATGCAACGTGACATGGTTTCGGAGCTCTCGCTCTCTGGGAGTGCTATAGGCGTGGAATAAAGTAAGAGGGTGAATTGAGGCCAATTAGGGTTTTCTGAAATTGCGACTGGGGTGTCCTTTATATTTTAGGAATGACGACCTTCACAAGCTCGTAAATGTGCCGTACCTGGATTTCCTGGCTGACCATAGGGATGAGCACCTTGGCCAGAGGCCTGTTATTGTGTTTCGAGAGGATTGGAGCACGGGAACAGGAGAGAAACAAGAATTTCAAATGAAAACAAGAAAACCATCCTTGGCTGGAAAACCGGAGAACTGGGAGGGTAAGGGGCTGAATCCGGAAAGCGAGAGCGGATTTGAAAATATATTGGAAATGCATAAAGCGAGGAATCCAATATCTGGCCCGACAATTGACGCAGGAAAAAAGGGGAAAGAAGGAAAAGAGTGGAGAGCGCTGAGAAAGGGTGGAAACATACTTGGGGTTTTGAGCGAGTGGCAGGCCGATGCCATAGGTAGGTTCTCTCGCCGCAAGACGAAGGGGTGGTCTAATTAAAGTTCCAGGGCATTTGCATGGAATATTACCTTGGAATGAATTTAATAGCAACTCGTCTGTGAGTTTTTAGGTCCTGACATAGCCATGTCTGACCGGTGCCGCCCTCCCCGAGGAGCTCCATGACACGGTACAGAGAGCTGATGCCGAAATCCGGAACCGGTACAAGATGTCTACTGCCATTACGATCGACACATGAGCGCCCGCTGCCTGCCCCGTAGCCGCTGCGCGAGCGCTTCCGGGAAGGGTCCCGACGGCCTGAAGCGTCGCTCCGGTCGTCGTATGTCTTACAAAGGCAAGCACCCATACTATCTAATACCCCGGCCAAGCTTGCTGTGGGCTGATTTGGTCAAGCCTTTCGAGGCGGTGGGCGTTGCTGAGGCTGCCTTGACGCGGCCAAAAAACACGAAGCACCACCGAGTAAGTAGGATTGATCTCTTTCGCTTCAGCTTAAATCGGCCAGCGACATGTCGCAAGGGAAGCAAGCAGCGCCTGAACACAACCCAGCGGTGCCATGTTGGGGCTGGCGGAGGTCACAACAGTTTTCTCTGACACCATGTTTCGCCAACGCCATCAATACCTATGTTATACGTACCGGTTCCTGAATTAAAATGACCATGATGTACCTGCGGGGAATCCTTGGTGCTCGTCCGGTTTGCTAAAGGGTACAAAGGTTCTTCGCTGATACGCGAATCTACGACACATTAAATTACTAGGCATCAAATACACATTTTGATAACTACGCAGGTTGTTTAATGAATCATGGCCGATTTGTCCTGGCAATTGGGCAGGAGGGCTGAGCAGGTAAACAATGTCGTTGGATTGCAACTCCACACGTCCATTCGGCATCTTGAGTAGTATTAACACCAACTGGTAATGTCAGGGGTGTCTTTCACCACAACCCTGAAACCTTTTTCCCCTGCCGTACGTGAAGTTCCACAGCGGAGGCTCGGCTACTCGTGTGCAACAGGTCGCTGCGTACAGCCCGGTCATTTAGATAAGCGCCATAAATAAACCGTAGCGTGAAGGAAAAAAATTGTCGGTTGTCAGAACCCTGCAGGAAAACAGGATTGTCATGCAGGTATTACAGCGACTTTGCGCAACCTCTGCGGGCAACTTTCGCAGATACGCTTCATCTGATAACCAAATCAGCACATCATCTAGGGCAGCGCTCCAAGCACTACTACACTCCCAGCCATCAGCTGCCGCGAATGGCCTCCCGACTAGGGTCACCATCTACGAGGTTGGCCCGCGCGATGGCCTCCAAAATGAGCAAAAGGTGTGGCATATGTATGTTTCCCTTTGATACACATGCACCGCGACACCTTAATCGTTTGCAACGCTTTCGTTTCTCTCCATCCCTTCGCAGGCAATTCCCACAGATGTCAAGGTCGCCTTTATTGACATGCTGACTAATGCAGGCTTTAAGGTGTGTTTGTGCAGCTCCTATAATTTGCGCAGGTTGATATCAGGTGTCTATGCCCGGATTCTTGGGGACCGTCGGCCGGGGGGAAGAAACGCCGGGTTCGTTGGCCGTTCAGTTTAAATTGTGGAGCAGCCCAGATCAGTCCGCGCAAAGCCCCTGGTGGCATCTCCTGATACCGTGCCAGATTCCCGTACAGTTACGCCGTACAAGTTTGCTGTCACGCATGCAGAAAATCGAGGCCACCAGCTTTGTATCCCCCAAGTGGGTTCCGCAGCTGGGTGATGCCAAGGAGGTGATGGCGCGGATTAAGCGGCAAGCAGGAGTGTCGTACCCCGTATTAGTCCCCAACATGCAGGTACGCGGCACATTGTGTCCTTGCTACGTAATTGATATGGAGAATGTTACAATGAAAATGAATACAACATACAATTAGGACGCCCAACAGTACACACGTGTTTATTAATATTATCATGGCCTTTAACTTGGTTGTTTCTGTAGTAGTTTTTCTAATTGTTGCTGCTGTTGTTGTCGCTGCTATCATGGCTGTAGCACACTTCCATCATCATCACCATCATCATCACCATCATCATCACCATCATCATCACCATCATCACCATCATCATCACCATCATCATCACCATCATCATCACCATCATCATCACCATCATCACCATCATCATCACCATCATCATCATCACCATCATCATCGCCATTGTCATCGTCATCACCATCATCATCGCCATCATCATCATCACCATCATCATCGCCATTATCATCATCATCACCATTATCATCGCCATTATCATCGTCATCACCATCATCATCGCCATTATCATCATCGCCATCATCATCATCACCATCATCATCATCACCATCATCATCATCATCATCATCATCACCACCACCATCATCATCATCACCATCATCATCATCATCATCATCGCCATTATCATCACCATCATCATCATCACCATTATCATCGCCATTATCATCGTCATCATTAACAACACCCCCCTGCTCTTCCGACCCGCATGCCCCTTGCCGATCTACCCCACATGCCTCGCGGTCTACCTGACCCCGACCTCCTCCTCCACGCCGCCTCCGACAGGGACTCGCAGGCGCCCTAGCCTCCCAGTGTGGCGAGGTGGCGGTGTTCGCAGCGGCCAGTGAGTCCTTCAGTAAGCGGAACATCAACTGCAATGTGGCGGAAAGCCTCAAGTGAGAGCGGTGTACGGAACGGACTGGTGTAAGGAACGGACTGGTGTACGGAAGGGGCTGGTGTACGGAAGGGGCTGGTGTACGGAACGGAATGTGGAAGAGCCCATGGAGGGGTGTGGGAGGGAGGGAGGGTGGTAGTGTGGGGGGAAAGGGAGGGAAGTAGGCAGGCAGCGGGCAGGTGATAGCTGGGAGACCAAGGCGTGCGGGAGTGTGAAGAGGGACTGATTGCGCTCGACGACTCCGTTTCGCTGTTTCCCGTGACATACAGACATACACATTTGCGGCTGTTAGCGTGCCCGCAGGCGCTTTGAGAAGGTGGCGAAGGAGGCGATAGCTGCGGGAGCCCTGGTCAGAGGGTGAGTATGTATGTATGTATGTTGTTACAGGGTGGTTAACTTCGCCAGCGGCCCCCTTTCCCGGGGCAGTCCCTGCTCTCCCCTGCTAGAGTGGCACCCTAATCCGTCACCCCATTCGACTTCAGAATGTATTCGTTGGGTTCGGCAACTCACCACCAGCATCCAACCAAATCTAGCGGATCAACGGCGCATCACCTTAGTTCCTGGTTAGCTCGCAAGTTGATTTTATCACGTCCTACATCGTCCATATGATGGGGGGCCACTCCCATTTCAACACTCCTCAAACACCCGAGGAGCCGGCAGGCGGATTTGAACCCGGGTCGGCCGGGAGCAGAAGTCAGGCCTTAACCTCTGCCAGCCGTCGCCTTGGATGTATGTATGTGCGTCTGTGTGCGCGCACACCATCTCTACTTGTATGATATGACGTTATGACAATATATACACACCCAATTCATAGGGTTTGGCACCACTGGTAAGGCGCGACCATTGCCCCCGGGAGATCCCGGGATCGATACCCATGAGGGTCAAAAGTCCTTCCGATGGTGGAAGGCATTGCGCCCCTAGTTGATGGACGGTGGTGACCTGGGATAAAGTTAACCTGCGAGAACAACAACAACAACAATATAGCTCTACTTTTTAATTCCGGGTGCCTGGCTGGCTGTGACCGTGGGCATGCCGCGCTGTGTTGTCCTGAGAGTGTGTACGGGATGACGTGTGTGCGTACGGGAGTTTGTGTGTTTTCATGCGTGCGTAATAATACTGACTCCGAATTCACTTCTGAGCCGGCACGTGCTTGTCCATGCTTGCGGTGGTTGCAGGCCAATGCGAGTGCGAGTGTGCGTATGCACCCCCTAGTACTCCTATCTCCCCACTTCCCGTAGTACACATTTGCACAACAAACTACATACATACAGACACACGCAACATTTTCCTTGGCAAGGAAACACTCAATACCATTGAGCTGCTATGTCCACAAATATTTTGGATATTAACACACATACATACATACACATACATACACATGCACACGGCACGTGTTTTACACGCAGGTATGTGTCTTGCGCGGTCGGGTGCCCCTACGAGGGCCGCATCGACCCCCAGGCGGCCGCTGACGTGGCTGTTGCACTGCAACAAATGGGTTGCTACGAGGTACGGTTTGTACGGCATGTCGTGCAAGCCGGCCACGTGTGATGGTGGTGATCTGTCGTACAATCGCTACTTCACAAGTTTTGTTTCTGTACTGGCGGTTCCCAAAAAGCTGGCGTGGCATGGAACACCTAAAAGGTTCTTGTCCTTTCATTTTCTTTCGTCAGGAATTGTTTTTATCGCGTCTTTAAAAAGCAGCCGCAGTGGCTTTTCCATACATACATGTTTATACATTTCACATATGGTGTTGTTCCGTATATGTTCGTACGTCGTATCACACTCTGTACGTACTGTTGTACGGTAATGCAGGTTTCCATGGCCGACACGATTGGTGTAGGCACACCCGCGTCCGTGGAGGACATGTTAAAGGTATGTATGAGCTTTTACATGCCCTGATTTTGTTTGTTGCTCTTCGTCTTTCTCTTGTGTGCTTCCTCTCTATATTAACTTGATCGTTCGTGGTCGCCAATCTCAGCTGGATGAAACTCTCACGTACTGCCGTACTGCCCAGTACCCATTCATGTGTGTATAAGTATGTATATATGTATGTACGTCCCATCCATGCGGGTATGATGCTTGCCACAGGCGACATTGTCCCACGTCCAGCCGCAAAACCTTGCCGTACATTTTCACGACACGTACGGCATGGCCATCGCCAACATCCTTACAGCGCTCCGACTGGGTGTGAGTGTAATCGATTCATCTGTAGCAGGCCTCGGGGGATGTCCGTACGCTCGAGGCGCGACGGGCAACGTCGCGACGGAAGATGTGCTGTACTTACTGGACGGGTACGGCATCGAACATGGCATCGACATGGATGCCGTACTGCACGCTAGCGAATATATTAGTACGGCACTGGGCCGGCCGAATGGCTCCAGGGTTGCTCGAGCATTGTTGGCGCGACGGATGGATGCGGCCAATACCACCACCGCTACAGCAGCGGTGGCAGCTGATTCGGCGCAGAAGACGGGAGCAGAGACTTCCGGCCTGAAGCCAGCTGCTGTGGCAGCCTAGTTGCAGGAACTTAGGGTTTTTTCCTCTCAGTTTTTCCAGTTTTTAAAAAGTTGTTTTGGTGGTGGTTGTGGTGGTTAGCGGGCAGCCGTGCATTACATGGCCTCGGCCCCACTTCCCCTTCTGGCTGGCTTTTTTACCGATTACAAGCTGTGCCAGCAGTACTTGGTGTGCAGCAGTAAAGAAGGCGCGGTCCTGTATAGTGCAGTACAGTGCAGTACAGTGTGTACAGCTGGGGATGCAAGTCGGCTGACATTTTGGCGGATGCTGCTGGCGACCTTTTAGCTGCTGGGATAGTGGTGCTAATGTTGCACTAAGTTTTCCTCTCGCTTTTTGTGTTTGCGGTTTTTATTAGACCTTGATTCGTGTTCCCTGTTGTGTTTCAAGTAAATTCCTGAGCGGCAAGAATCACAGGTTTGCCTGTGTGTGTATGTTTGTGTTGGTGGATTTTGGGTGATGCAAAGCCCAAAAGAAGAATGCGGAGATGGCGATGAGGATGGCATCTAGGAAATGAATGGGATGATAAGTCGTCTGCGGAGTTGTGACTTTCAGGAGTTGTGACTTTCAGGACTAATATAAAAGACACTGGGGTTTTAGGTTATGGTGAAATGGAGAGCGCTCTCTGCGCGCATGAAGTCGGTTGCTGGACCACAGCAACAGCAGCAGCCGCAGTTGTCACATACATACTTCCATATATACAAGTAAGGATCCGGAAAAAGCTTGGTGGGGCGCTTTGCACGACAATCGTAGGTTTCCCCTCGGTAGACCCCCACCGGCTTTGGCCGGGAAGGCAACACCACGCGCAGATGTTCGTAATTATAAAATTACAATGTCGTAATGTACATGTGTGTATATCTTACCCATACATAATGTACGTGTGTGTGGTGTAGAGGTACGTTTATGATACGTATGCCCCCGCGGCCAAATTCATTGCATACCATTCTGCATATGCAACGTTAAAAATAAGCAATCATGTCTCCCAAATGTCTTCTATCCACCTCACCTCACAACACCTCGGTGACACGCCAGCAGCAGCAGCAGTATTATAACCCCCTCCTCTGGTCGTGAGCTTCAGAGTTTTGTTAAAAAAACACCCTGCACGTCCGAATATTAATAGTATTGCTGGGGACACCGTGCGCTTCATAAAAGAAAGAAAACAAAAAGACATCCGTTTTCCGCAGGTAGGCTAGCAGAAGGTTGTCCGCCGGAATATAAACATATTACGTGAGCAACAGAAGCTGTCCGCTGTCCAACAGCCCCTTCACAACATCGCATTTTTGTGGACCAAAAAAACTCATCACTCCCAGGCGCGCGCGAATTGGAAACGCAAAGCCGCTATATAGGCGCGAGATTCATTCCGGGCCCAGCTTTTCGTTTATTTTTGATTGGCGATTCGCATCATGGTGAGACTCGTATGCGAGTCATCACCCTATCCGGTGTATATGGTGTCCGCTTTTTGTTGCTATTGTGGACGGATTCGCGCTAGCAGGGCCGCATGCATATATATACTTATAACTGTGTGTGTGGGGAGAGGAGTTTTGATATTTGGTTTTGGGCCTTTCCCGGCGTGGCCGGCCCTCGTGTACGATGTCGTACTGGGTATTTTCGGTCATAAATAATACGATGTGGCAAGTCTGATCCGATGTTTTCAGCCCAGAAATATAATGTGTGCAATGGCAATGACAACCCACTAAAGGTGTTAATTTTGTTATGCACCGGCGGATGCGCCTTTACCGTTGGGCCGATAACTATCGACCCAACGAACACGTGACTCCTGTACGACCATTGGGCCAAAAGTTTTTGTTCAGTTTTTGATCTAACCATCGCCGTACATCCTCCGTACTTCTTTACTTCTCCCTTCTCTTTCAATATTTATATTATGTACTTCTAGGTAGCTGGTATATATTTCCATTATGTATGTACACACGGTTATGCTGACGAGGGCGAAATCCGAAATCTGAGGGACCCCCTTTGTACACTTCCCTCTGCCGTATGTTGTGGAAGTAATGTAGTGCTCCCTTCTTTCCCTGCTGGACCTGCTTAACCGTCACTTAACCGCCACTTAACCGTCACTTAACCGCCACTTAACCGCCACACCTCCATTCCCCAGATCCTCTCAACTTCTCAATTGCCGTACCCCAAGACCCTCCGCCCGCTGCTCCTTGGCCTCAGGCTCAGACTCAGGCTCTGCTGCTCTCCTCCAGCTTGGCAATATGCGCCCGCCGCTGCGCCACACGCGCCACCTCCCCCCTCCTCTCCCGCCCCTCCGCCTCCTGCCGGTACACCTCCAAAGCCTCCTCGGTCTTGCCCATCGCCTCCAGCACCACCCCTAGGTTCCAGGCGGCGGTGAGGCTGTCGGGGTGCGAGGCCCCCAGAGCGGCCACCCACCCGGCCAGAGCGCGTCTGAGGCCGGAAGGTGCGCAGGTGGACGCATAAAGTACTTAAAACCACAGCAGACACACAGCACGCGTCGGTAATGTCTGCTGATGCGAGGAGAGCAGGTTATGTCAGGTGTAGGGTTCGATATGGGGATGTGCGGGTCCTGGGCTGTGTTTTAATTTAATGCGGGTTTTCAACCTACATATGCATGTATGTATATGTAATTATAGCTATTTACATTTACGTATATGTGTGCATATGTATATGATGTGTGAAACAGGGGGGTATGTCTTCGCCCGTGGCAGCTACCCTGCGAAACCCTGCCTTGCCCGGTATTTCGGGGCACCCTCATTCCAGTCACCCTAGCCAACTTCTCGGTGGATCCGCTCAGGTTCCGCACCCACCACCAGCATCCAACGGAATCTGCCGGGTCAACAGCGGCCCAACTCCGTTCCTGGTCGGCTCGCAGGTTAACTTTATCCCAGGTCACCACCGTCCATCAACTTGGGGCGCAATACCTTCCACCATCGGAGGGATTTTCGACCCTGACAGGTCTCGATTCCGGGATCTCCCGTGGGCATTGGTGCGTGCCTTACCAGTAGTGCCTAACCAAGTAGTATGTATATGTGTGTATATGACGAGATTTACTGAGATCCCTAACGCCCCTTACGTCCCCCCTTACTAATCAGAATCAACTCCCCCCCAATGTCCCCAACCTACGCCCAACCCAACCCAACAATACACATATGCGTACATACATACATACATGCACACACCTGAACAACGGCTCGGCATCTTCGTAGCGGCCATGCGCCTGCAGCAGTACCGCCAGGTTGTTCACAGAGCCGAGCGTGTCGGGATGTGCGGGCCCCAGCGCTTCCTCCCGGCCCTGGAGGGCACGACGGAACAGCCCCTCCGCCTCCGCCATCTGCCCCTCCGCCTGCAGCGCCGCTGCCAGGTTGTTGGCGGCGGAGAGGGTGTGCGGGTGGCCGGGACCAAGGGCCAACTCGCTGCCCTCCAAAGCCCGCCTGTAGCAACAACGTACGGCAACGTACGACAACATACGGCGTGTTTTACTAACACACGCATACCAAACAGCAGCACGCTGCGCCGGGACCCCATGGGAGGATGGCGCGGCGACATAAAGGGGGGGGGAGAAGACATGAAAGAACATTTTTGATGGTCCTCCGGGACGATTATAAATTATAAATTATAAGCTATGTGGTGAGGTGATGTTGTGGGTTGTGTTCTCACCCCCACATTTAATCACATGCTCTCTCCCCCATCCTCTGCTGGCTGTACAGTTGTACGGCATTACGGCATTACCTCATCCTCATCCTCATCGTCATGCTCACGCATTTTCAGCTGTGCCATTTCTGCGCATTACACCTCCCGTGTTATACACCTCCCCGTCCGGACGGTCGTTCCCTTTTGACTCGATACCCCCTTCCCCCAAACCCTCACATACACACACACACACGTGCACTCACCCATCCTCCCCCCCTCGGCCCCCTACCCCCCATATGTGCTCCCTCCCCCCCCCCCGTCCTTCCACAATCTCCCCCATTACCATCCAATTATACACACACACACGCCCCTGTACCACACACACACACACACACACACAAACCAAACCTGTACAGCCTCTCCGCGTCCTCCAGTTTTCCTGCCTCCTTCAGCACCAGTGCCAGGTTGTTCACCGCGGCCAACGTGTCGGGATGCCCCGGGCCCAGCTCGTCCTGGTAGCCCGCCAGCGACCGCCGGTACAGCCCCTCCGCCTCCGCCAGCTGCCCCGGGGATCCCTGGAGCCGCAGCACGTGGGCCAGGTTGTTGGCGGCAGCCAGGGCGTCGCGGCTGGTGGCTCCCAGAGCGGCCTCGTACGCGGTCAGGGCCCGACGGAAAGCCGCTTCCGCATCTACCTGCACCACCACCACCAACAATACCAACAGCAGAGGTCGGGTCAGGGTCAGGGTCCAGGTTTTAGGGTTTTTTAGGGATTTTTTAGTTTTTTTATTAACTTTTAAAGGTTATTTTAATTTTTTTAGTTATTTTTAGGGGGTTTTAGGAGTATTTTTAGGAGTTTTTAAGCCTTTTTAATAGGGGTTTCAAGGGGTTTTTGGCCGTGGGGGAGCTGACATCAAAAGGCCGTAGCGTTCAAGCGCGGGGAAAGGCAGGAGAGGTGGCAGCACACGGAGCCGCGGAAAGGAAGAGGTGTGTGTGTGGAAACCCGCAAAAGAGGGTGTGCGCGAAGGGTCTTTTAACCACAGGTTGACACATACATACATCCTACCGCTAAGGTACCTACCATCCTGCCCTGCTGCTCCAGCAACATGGCCAGCGCTTCCAGGGAGGCCGCCGTCTCGTGATGTGTCACACCCAAAGCTCGCTGCGTGGCGCTCAACACTCGACGAAGCAAGGGCTCCGCCTCAGCCAGCCGCCGCTGGTCGTGTAGCAGCGAAGCCAGGTTGGAGGCCGAAGTCAGTGTGTCCGGATGTTCCGTACCTAGCGCCGCCTCCGTCGCCGCTAGCACGCGGCGGAACAGTACCTCCGCCTCTGCCATCCGCCCAAGCGCCTCCAGCATCCGAGCGGCTCGGTCGAGGCGGAAGATGGCGGCGGCGGAGCACCTGGCACCAGCGTCATCGTCGGTGGCTGCGCCGTCGCCGCCGTCGGCGGTGTCGTACTTGGCGGCGGCGGTAAGTGCGCCGCTCTCCAGTCGTTGCTGCTCTTGGCGAGCCTCCGCCAGGATACTGCCGACGAGGGCGTCGCGTAAGGCCCTGGATACGGCAGCGGCGGCGGGGCCGTTGGCGGCGCCGTCAGCGTCGCCAAGGAGCTCGCGGAGGATGTGGCGGCGGAGGCGCGCTTCGCGGCCATTGACGACGTCGTCCTCGCCTCCGCCGCCTCCGCCGCCGCTGGCGGCGGCGGTGATTGCGACGGCGAGGTCCAGATCAGCAATCGCCTGTACGGAGATCAAATTACGACATCTTATACGAAGTAGTAATAGCCCTAAAGTAATAGCCACCCTTAAAACAGCCACCATGGAACTTCCGTACATGTATGTACGACATCTTTTATCATCTGAAAAACTTTCTATATCTTTTCGCGTCGCAATGTGCAGTACTACCTATCTGATTAAGGTTTCCCCATGGATGTGTTTGTATCTAGCAATCTACTTTTTCATCATGCCTTGAATGGAAGCAACAGCAACAACAGCAACAACAGCAGCGGCAGCAACAACAGCAGCGGCGGCGGCAGGCAACAGCGGATCGTTAGCTGAGAACCAGTCGGCCCCCGTCGGAAAGCCAGGGAGAGAACGAACTGCTGCACAATCTATGTCCGTACCATATGGCCACCCTCATGCCGTACAGCGCAGTACATCCTTCACGAGCGCCATATATATAACTCACGTAACGCAGGGCTTCAAAGTCCAGATCGTACGACAACAACCGAAGTTGCCGCGCTGACGTGCCCGCAAGCCAAAGCTCGTACAGGCACAAAAGCCGCCGTAACGCCTCGGCATCGTCGTCCAATACGAACAAAACTGATTGTGCGCCAGCTACAGCCTCCCGTATAGTCTGCAGATGCGCGTCATCATCATCATCATTGGCGCGCTCGGCTCCGTCCCCTAAGTCATCGGCGCCGAAACCAGCACTTCCACTGCAACCGAAATCATGCAGGTCAGTCGCGAAAACGTCCAGCCACACAAAAACGCCGTCGGGCGCAACCGCGCTGCGCCCCTCATGCTGCGCGTGCTGCGCTTCCGTCGCGAAATGCTTACGCAGCATCGCCACCGTATCTCCAAAGCGCCGGGAGCGCGCATGGATGACGTAATGGTACGGTCGGCCCATCGACACCGCCGCGGCGGCGGAGGCGGCTCCGCCGCCGCCTTCCGCCAGAACCACATCTGCGTAGCTGCAGCTGCCGTACATTGACGAACTGCCGCCTCCGCCGCCGCTATTGGGCGTGCGCTTGGACCTGCCGATGGCTGGCGCCAAGACCTGCTCCGCGACTTGGTTCGCGGTCAAGTCAATAGAGGGTAAAGCGGCTGTGAAGGACTCCAGCCACGGCAGCGACACCGCCCTCTACGCGGGGGGACGCGTGTGTGAGTGTGTGTGTGTGCGTACGTTTGTGTGTGGGGTGGGGGGTTGGGGGGGAGAGGGGGGAGATCAACAAAAGGGACTTACGTACCACTCAGGCGCGAGGAAAGCTCGACTCGGAAGCTAACCAACCACCGACATTAACTCACGGCCGCGGCCTCGACGCATGAAGGAGCCCCCTAGAACTGAGGTCCTCATCGCGAGGTTGCGAATACTACAAAGGATTTGGACGGTGCGTCGAATGCCGCTGCAGGATGGTCAGGATGGCGATGTTGGAATGGGATTTATTTGCGGCAGCTGAAATGATGATGATGATGATGATGATGATGATGATGATGATGATGATGATGGTGATGGTGATGATGATGATGATGATGGTGATGATGATGATGGTGATGATGGTGATGATGATGATGATGATGATGGTGATAATGATGATGGTGATGATGATGATGATGGTGATGATGATGGTGATGATTGTGATGATGATGGTGGTGGTGATGATGATGATGATGATGATGATGATGATGATGATGATGATGATGGTGGTGGTGATGATGATGATGATGATGATGATGATG